CAGTAATCACGTATTAGCTAATGTCACATCTTTCAACTCTTTATTTCTTTAGTGCATGTTCTTTGACGTCGATTAGGCTGACATTCAAGAGAAATCGTCAAGGAAATCTGCTACAACCGGTGAAACCCATTACACGCATTAATGACATGGCTGGTCGTCGAATAATCTCAAATGATCTATAGAAGATGCAGGAAAGCTTGCACTCACAAGTATTTCTTTTTTGAAACATTTGCGGTGACATGTAGTCACGGGTGCCACACATACGATCCAGGGGAACCTCTTCATTAGTATAAGTCATTTCTAATTTAGTAGCCATCCCAAAATCGGTGATCTTCAGTAGACCTGCAAAAGACTAACTCTCCTCTAATAACGAAGAAAATACATATAACCAATTACTACTACAAGTTCAAGCTAATCGCCAACCATTACTGTTTATGATTAAGTTGTCTGGCTTAAGATCTCGATGTGCCACGTGAATGCTATGCAGGAAGTCGACTCCTCTCATTAACTGGCGATAATAGTCGCGAGCGTTTCGCACTCCTAACCCCCTGCGATGTTTTGAATCTGAAAAAGATGTTCCTCCTAATGTGATGTATCTAAAGAGAGAAAAAGGAGTCCTACACATTTTATGGAGCAAGACAATTTAAAAAGGAGAGATGCCTAAATCTACAAATCTCAATGTCCTATCGAAAAACTCCTTTAACGCATTGACGACAGTCCATTGTGCGTGTTCCTCGGCATCTTTTTTTCTTTTTTTAGTCTCCCAAAATCAGCACTATTCTTTCAATATTTTACATATTACGTAATGGTGTAGTATTTTCTGAATCCATTGATGTAGAGGGACAACTTTCCAACGATAAAATACCCTGTAAATCGAGCAACCATGCCCACTTGCGTGAAAATCTGACGCGCATGCGCGTCTTTTGTCGTCATTGTGTTAGGTGACATTTTTTCATACCGGAGCTATACAGATTTGCCAAGAAAGACTGCGCTCACCGATAATCGTTCGTACATCATCGCCGTTGACATATTCGAGAAAAAATTTGAAGCTGGTTCAAACTCAACTTCATAATTTGATCCGAAGCACTGAACGATATTCGGATGCCGTTGTGGAGTTAACGCATTTTGTAGTGCTACCTAAAACAATTATTTGTCCCGAGTTCAGGATTATCCTTCTCTCGCTGCCGCGGTTAAGAGTGGAACATTAATAAGAACGACCCCCTCTTCTTCTGTAGTTAAAATTGAACACAACTGAACTACTATTCCATGCTAATCTTCGCCAAACATGCCCTGGATGGGTTTACTCTGGCTTTTGTTATTCGTCTAACAGTACTGCACCATATAATTTGTTTATCAACCCCTTATATTGAAGCTACACTCTTCGTGACCTTTTCATAATTTTTCAATAAGGAATTCCACTCGAGCGCTGTGCTTTGCTTCTTGCTAATAAATCAACATTCAAAATGAGGGCAAGCCTAACAAAAACGCAACATCATCAGACCTATCTGAAAGGGCAGAAATACCAAAGAGTACCCTCTGTCTTCGTGGAGCATGAGAACGAGTAAAGTACAGTTGGTCAACTAAGATCGCTCCTCCCATGGGTGCCGCATTATGCACTCTGCAGCACCGCATGTAAAATTGTTTCAAGAAAAATCAATGGCAACAATAAGTGACAAGCAAGATGACTCACCTCGTTTCTAAATTTTTGCTTCGATCCTTCTCGTCTGTGATCAAGGTCAATAACTTTAAGTGCAATAACATCATTTGGAATGTATTTGCGATTGAATGGGTTACGGATTAGGTGCACCTCACCATAGGCTCCTAAATGGTCAGATTTGCAAATTTCAAACGCTGAGACAATACGAACGTCACCAGTTAATGTTGTCTGGTCTCTGGTTTAGTTTTTTTTTGCGAATGTTTACGCACCATGCCAATCAACTACCCTGCACGTTCCTTGGACGCTAGGCGTAAACGTTTTCATTTGCGAAGCTACAAGACAAACAAAACGATTAATCTTAGGGAATCAGATTCTCGCTTCACGATACGCTATGTAATGGTAAACCTAATATATATGTGGTATCCATTAGATTATACTCCGGAGCTCAATATGAGGAAACAAGGTACTGTATACAAAAAATGGGAAAATAGAATCTCATACTATTCTGTTTGAATATCAATTTGATACTTAATATTTTGTAGGCTCTAATTCATCCTATTGAAAATGAATGGGTAACTAGTGAAGAATTGTTAGATGTCTCCTAATTTCTAGATAGTTGTTTATGTGCTGGCCTTAAATACACTAAAATCAATCACGAAACTCTAGAAAGCGGATGTCCTTGCGTGAATTTTTGAACGCTCTAGCAGCAGTTTTGCGTTGTTCTTGTGCAAAACTAGTCAACTCATGAAGCGTAAAAAACCAACTAGTCTGTGAAAGACTTGTTTAACAATACTGAGCAGTACCTGTTCCAAGTAACTTCAGCGAGTGATACTCATGCCGTATAGTAGCTCGATGCATTGAGGGAGACCGGGGAGCGTATTCAGATGACGAGTCGCATTCGGAATCATCGAGACTTCGCGGAGGATCTGGCTTGTAAAGGCAATGACATGATCGACCTGTGATGAATTCGCTGGGCAGTGAGCGATCGTACGGTGAACTGGTCCAATAAAGACGATGTACCATCTTAAAAGAAATGCAAAACTTAATTGGAGCTTATCTTCGAAAGAGGCAGTTGTGGCTCTAATGAAAAAGGAAGGGGAAACAATAGACTAGTCAGATGTTTGCTGACAGCTTACTCGCACATTTTCTCCAATTAGTCAGAAGTTGCGAAGAAAATATGGACTTAACTGCAGTGATAGTCATTAACCAGTATCACGAAAAGCTCAGGAAGGGTGAGGAAGTATTGTCGAATACATTTAGGACATGGAGAAAGGTTCACTTACAAACAGAAATAATGTTTTGATAGCTGCTCAATATCAGCAATGTTTTGGGCATGAATCCATGGCGTTCGATATTTTGATCGACAATGGCATATTGAAGTGTTTGAGAGAATGATAAGTTTTGAAGTTTCGAGAGGACCGTGAAAAGCTTAGACGATCAAATTTTAGGTTGGGACGATTTGCATCCTTGAACTGTTCGGAACGAGTATCACAGGAGGTTGAGAGCATGTTCTTCACGTTATAAGAGGATCAGTAGAGGTGTCCAGAAAAGGCGAAATTGATAAAACAGCTAAGACTGGGACACTTAGCAGATATTAATCAAGTGATAGCACGGATGGGTGAATATGAATACGGTTCAATTCTAGAAGAAATTATTATTGATTTTAGAATTAATGGAAAAAAGGATCAAAT